CTGGCACCTTAGCTGTTTGAGCCACAGGCGCCAAGCCAACCCAGATCTTTCTAAAGCATTTACTTTCGCATGTCTTTAGTGAGCTGAAATGCCGCAAGAATAACCCAAGTAAGGCAACAAAAGATCCTTCAGGCTGAAGGGTTGCAGGGTGCACAACTTGGGCACCCAGAGCTCAGGGAATCCCCTCGGAATGGCTACTTGAAAGCAAGAGCAAGGCTTGAGGTTGGCATGGCTGGGCCTGGGATACTTCATCTGGACAGTCAGCCTTTCGGGGTCAGGGGACCAAAGGCAGGGGCTGCTGCCTGAAAGGCCCCTTGTAGTGGGAGGCAGTGCTGTTGTCACCACACAGACTGCCCTTCTGGCTGCCTGGGTGACTCAGGACCTGTCAGTAGGTCTGGATGTGCTAAGACAAGTCCTAGCCTCCCCTCCCTCCCCACACATCAACCCAGCAGGCCTAGTGGGAGCTGAGCTTCCTCCTTCCATCTGCATCTGGAGGTTGACAACAAGCTTTCAGGCCAGGGGTCACTACTGGTCACTTGTGCAAGCCCTGCTTCCCCCCTGCCTCTGGTCAGATTAGAGCCCCTCCTGGAGCCCCAGACTGCTAGGCAGCATCCTGACAAGTGGCTCCTGTAGGAGGAGTCCTGGAGGTGCTGGGGGGTGGGCACTCACTCGTGACATCTCTGAGCCTCGCCAATGTTCTGTTGGGCAGAGCAGAGGCATCAGTATCATCATGCTCCAGGTGAGGAAACTGAGGCTGAGGGAAACACAGTTTTGACTCAAAACCAGGCCTCTTGATGCTGATTCCTGCTGTCTTTCCTAGACCCCACCCCTAGGACCACGGTCTGGAGGAGGCAGAGGCCCACACACTGATACGCTTGTGAGGCCAGGGTGGTGGCAGCAGGCCAGGGCCAGGCAGGCCTAATCCAGTCCTCTCTCAAGCTGGGGCTTGGCCCCTTGGGACTAGGCTGGCTTTGTCTACCAGACCAGGCAGGGGAGAGGCAGCTGAGAATAAGCAGGCTCCAGGATCCCAGGAAGAGGGACTGTGAGGGCCTGTCCTGGGCCTTTAGGGGTCAGAGGCCAAGACTCAGTCACCCTCAGCTTGCACAGCTCTGCTGGATTGGCCTTAGACTTCTCTGAGCAGTCCTTCTGCATTTAAACACTCCACAGGGCCAGCAATATGCAGGATGCCATGTCTCCTGTGAGCCTCCATTTCCATTCCTCTTGGCAGATGAGAAGACTGGTTTAAGAGCAGCTAGAACCTTGTCTAAGGGAGTGGCAGTCCTGGGATTTGAGTTCAGGTCTGCCAGCCCTTAATATTGGGGTCCAGATTTTACTTAAGGGAGAATGAAGGCTGCTATGAAGATCCCTCCAGGTGCCCCAGCTATGGCTCCCCTCTTCTCTCACCCTGTAGCCCCAAGTCTCTTCTCTTCCTCCCTCTGCAGCCCAGAACCACTCTGGACCCGGACTGGCAGGGGTTAAAGTCACCTTCTGCTGGACTGTGCTGGCTTCTGTTTGCTATGCCTGCACCTGCTGCAGCTCCATGGTTTCGACAAGGCTGGCAGGGAATGCCAGCTCTGCACGGGTACAGTAAACATGCCCGCCCCAGGCCAGCCACCTGCCCACTGCATGCTGCCAGAGCAGAACAGTGCCAACTCCAGGTGGAAACAATTCTCAGCTGCCTCCACCCTGTATAGACCCAGGCTGGGGCAGAGGGTGGTCAGTGCACTGGCCTGGCTAAGCCCTCTGGCCTCCCAGGTGTGGGGCTGGGATCTGTAGGACAGATGCTTTGGGAAGGGTCCCACAGTCTGAAGAAAGATGGTCCCTGACAAAAGAGGCAATGATGATTCAATGTCCCACCTTAGGAGCTCCAGGGATTTACCAGACACACTGCCATGATGAGGTGCCCCACAGGCTGGCATTGTGTGTTTTAGCAGCTGACCCTATGTATGGGGGCTGACCTCCCCCTACTTCCTCAATTTAAATTGCAGCCTCAGGATCAGCTGAGAATGACCCCATGCTTCCTCCCTCTTTCCACCTCCCCCAATGTGGACAGTGGCTGGCAGTGACATTTAATTCAGAGAAGGCACCTGACCTTGGAGAAGAATGTGGGAAATGTCTACAGCCTAGAGCAGCTACCCCCTACCTGGGGCCCAGGAATGTGGGCTCCAGGCCTCCTGCAGCTCTCAAGGGAGCCGTGTGATCCAGGAAAGGCACCAGTAAGGTCATCTGTGAAACTTCTACATCTTACCAAGGGTGAAGATGTCACAGGGTCAATGCCACTGTACCTGTGGCACTAGCACAGCATCCACTCCAATCTGGTTAGGGCACTGTCCCTGACTCTTGGGAGTCTCCTTGAGCCTGAGGCCACAAACACAGCTGCAACTTTTGACCAGTCAGAACCATGGAATGTCAGAGCCCTTTGAAATTAGCAGATATTGTGCCCATCCCATATTACAGATGTGGAGACTGAGGCCCAGAGACAGGATATGAACTGGCTACAAGTACACAAATTATGGGCCAGGACCCAGGGCTCTGGCTCTGGGCTGGGTGCTTTCCCATATTCCCTCCTGTCCCCGTGATGCTGGAGGTCAGCCTCTCCTCCCAGTGGAGAAACTCAAGTGGCCTCTCCCAACCTGTGGGGTTCCAGCTGGGAATCCAGGTCCTTTACGGGTGGCCTTCTGGGGGAATTGCCAGGGGTGGGGGCTACAGCCACAGAGCAGACACTGAGGGCCTCATCCCTATGCTCAAGGTGCCCCACTCTCCTGCTGGAAGGCACAGGCAAGGCTGAGTTAACTCCAACAGCTGCTCCTCTTTGGACTGAACCCTGAAAAGGGCTTAGAGTAAGGACTCTGCTGCCCTCTCGTGACCACAGGTGGGCATGACTGCTGTCATCCACGCGTGACCACAGGTGGGCATGACTGCTGTCGTCCACGCCTGGGGCTGCTCCACACTATGGGTGTCTCTCCCCCAACTTCCCTCCACCTGGAAGGCTGGATATGGTGGGTGTCATCCTTTCTTACAGCATCACTTAGGCCAGAGTTTTGGCTTACAAAGCAAGGTGGGAAAGGTGGACGATGCTTTGTTCAATGTCAGATCCTGGAAGAAGGTGGTCTCAGGCCAACCAAGGAGAGAGGTCTAGCGCTACCGCATTGCCCAGGAAGGTTGGCTATGGGGGGGACACTCGGGTTTTCCTACAGAGACAACCTAATCAACCAACATTCGACAGGATGGTTTGAAAATTTAGAGGATATTTATTCCTGGGGAGGATTATGACAGCTGGCAGCACTGCTTTCCCTACTCCAGGGAATTCTCTTTTCCTCTCCAGAGAAATCACCTCTCTTCTTGGAAGTGCCCATGGGGAGACTGGGATATGAAAAGAAACCATACACAACACTCCAGAGCCTTAAAAAAATAAAGCAACAAACAAATCCACACAAATACACACTTACAAAATAAATAGACATATAAAAGAGAGGCCATGTTCCTCCCATCCCGACTAGGGGCTGCCTCGGGAGGATGGGGCTGGGTGGCTTGGTCCCACTCCTCCCAGCCAGGATTATCTAGAGGCTAAATGGTATGGAGGTGCCTGATGAGACAAGAGTTGGCCCTGGCTTCAGAGAGAGGAGGGGAGGACCTCTCCTTGAAGCTCAGCGGGGTAGATGGCAGGACAGGGTAAGGGACAAATAAATAAATAAATAAAACCCAACAAACTCCCAGAGGCCTAAGGTCTTAGGCTGAGGCTTGTGGCCCCTCAGGCCTGTTTCCCTGAAAACAGCAGATCCAGCAACAGGCAAAAGGAACAGCAGGGAAAACACAAGTCCAAAGCCACATTGCACTTGGCCTCCAGAGCCAGTATCCTTCAGATTACTGAAGGGCCCAGGCCAAGAAGCCGGCCTCAAACCAGCTCTAGAGGGAAGAGGGGTAGGGAGGATGAACTCCTCAGCAGCTGCTCTGAGCCTGCTCTCTAGCCTGGGAAGCACCTGAAGCCAGGAACCCTCCCTCCCTGTACTCTCTGGGGCCTGCAGAGCCTCCTCCCTCACTCTCTTGCCTTCATCCTAACCATCGCCACCAGAGGGAATCACAGGTTCCTCCTGGGTAGGCTTCTTCCTAGGGAAGTTGAGGCAAAACCCTCTCTTCCTAGTCTCAGTGAACTTCCTGACCCAGGGCATCCCAAGGTCAGCTGAGAGAAGTCTGTGTGACTATAAATAATCAAAACAATCCAATCCCGATGTCTTCCTTTGCTCCATTTGGCCACAGGTGCCCCCACGTTTCCAGGCAGGGCTGCACTCTAAGCTCCCTTCAGGCCAATAGGGAGAAGGGATCAGACAGAAGCAAGTACATAGAAGGGGGCAGGAGCTGCTGGAATGGTCAGCTTGGACAGGAGGCCAAATTGGATACACGAAGAAGTCCCAGGGTCCCTCCTGGAGAAGGTGGCCAGCTGGGGACCGGAGAGCACAGGGTAAGGGTGGGCTGGCCACTCAGCTGGGCAGCAACACGTGCTCCAGGAGGTAGGTGAGGGAGTCCCAGTGCTTCCAGAGGAGGAACAGAACAAGGACCAGGAGGGCGGTGCTGGTGATGCGGAGGCGTGTCTTCATGAGAGGAGTGATGAAGTTGGCAATGGTGGACACAAACACCAGCAGCACAGCCATGAGCGCCAGGATCACATTGATGAACTTGCCCAGCAGTGCCCGGGCATTGGCATTCTCCACGCCCTCCAGCTGCACGACCTGCTGCTGCTGCTGCTGCAGCTCCAGCTTGGTGACCCGGGTCAGGCAGGACTCCACGGCCTCCTGCAGAGACAGAAGGTTTGGCACATGGGAGCTCAGGATGGGCAGGACCCCTAGGCTGAGCCCTACCTGCCCCTCCAAGAAGGTGACAATACACAAGGTCCCCTGCTCCAAAGACCAGGAGTGGGTAGGAGGAGGTGTAGATTGATAGGCAGTAGCTGGGAGCAGAGTGCTTTAATCATGACTCTCTGAGGAGGATGCTAGGAAATGGGAGTCTTGATTAATAGGGAAGGAGAGGACCTGGCCCAATCCCAGCTCCCTCTTGGGGTAGTCTAGAGCCCGGCAGTTCCAATTGTTCATTTGCAAGGCTACCATCAAAGACAGGGGGACACAGCGGCCCTTGCCCTGACCTTTGTATAGATAGTGCACTCTCAGCCTCAGGCCTGCCTTGCCCTTTTCTCCACTCCCTCCCACGCTGCCTTCTCCATCCATGTGCCTACCTGCCCCTGCCAACGGACCAGCCTGTGCCCATCATCCCCCATGAGATAAGAACCCTAACCCACTGCCAGCTCACCCAGCACGTCCGGGCCTTCCAAGGTCAGTACCTGAATGTCCCGAGCCCTCTCGTACGACTGGTAGGCCACCTTCTCCTCCATGCTGGCCAGCTCCTGCTTCAGGTTTGTCATCTCATTCTGGTGGAGCTCCGTCAGGTCATTGAGCTGCTCCTCCAGCCTCTCATACCTGGCAGAGGGAAAGGGCGTCACACCAGTCCCGGCTCCCCAAGCTGCCCTTCTCCCCAAGCTGCCCTTCTCCCCCAGAGCTGATTCATTCATTCTTTCCAAAAAACAATGACTCAACTCACCCTACGTGTCCAACCCTGTTCTAATTTTAACAGCAACAACAACAGGAGATACTATTTACACAGCACTTCTTACAGCAGGTGCTGGGCTAAGGATTTTAGCCATCTTACCTCACAGGATCCTCCCCATGATCCAGGGAGGTAAGTGCTAGCGCCCCTCCCACCCCCACAGAGGATGCAACTGAAGCAGTAGGTTAAGGGACCTGCCTGGGGTCACACAGCTCATGAACAGTTAAGGAATGACTGACTTCAACCTGGCTGCTTAAGCCCTGGGCTGAGATGCTCTCCTGGGTACCAGGAACACACGAATGTAGAGGATACAATCCCTGCTCTGAAGGCACAAAATATCACAAGATGACTGGGATGTGGGAGTGGTTAGTTTTTAGGTAGAGTTTCCCCTCAATTTTCCAAGGCTACTTTATACATGTATAAAGAAAAAAAGGGCTGGGTATGGCGGCTCACACCTGTAATCCCAGCACTCAGGAGGGCCGAAGTGGGTGGATAGCTTGAGCTTAGGAGTTTAAGACCAGTCTGAGCAAGAGTGAGTCCCCATCTCTACTAAAAATAGAAAAACCAGCCAGGTATTATGGCAGGCACCTGTAGTCCCAGCTACTTGGGAGGCTGAAACAGGAGGATTGCTTGAGGTTGCTGTGAGCTGTTGTGACACTACGGCACTCCACCTAGGGTGACAGAATGAAACTCTATCTCCAAAAAAAAAGGGAAAAGATGCCCCCAAATCCCTGGGAGCAAGTGCCAAGGGTCCAGAGCAAACAACTGGGCAGGGCCCAAGGGAAGGAGGAAGGCAGGGGACTAGACATGCCAGCTCGATTCCACTGACCTTAGGAGCTTCAAATGGATATTCAAACTTCCCATGCTACATATTCACGTATTTGACCCTACAGGTTTGGGCTCATTACATCTTCACAGTAACCCTGTGAGGTAGGGATTAATGTTATCCCTACGTCATGGACAGCAAACCAGGTGCAGAGAGTATTAACTAGTTTGCTCAAGGTACAAAGTCAATAATAAAGCTGAGATTTGAACCCAGGTATTCAGACTCCAGAGTCTCTCCAGATGAGAGGCCATGTAGCTGGTCCCTGCCTCAGTTTCCCCTTCTGTACACCAACCACATGCCAATCTAGGCCTGGCGTTCAAAGCATCTAGAGCAGTGGTTCTCAACCTTCCTAATGCCACAGCCCTTTAATACAGTTCCTGTGGGTCGCGACCCACAGGTTGGGACCGCTGATCTAGAGAAAGGCAGCATGTTCCTCCCACAGGTCCCACAGTGCTGTCTTCCAGCTGCTCTGACCAATCCGGAGAAAGGCTCCACAGGGAATCCTCCCAGCCCCTTCCAGCAGCCTGGGACCCTTCTAGATGCTCCTCTGTCTGCCTTCACAACCCTGAGCCAGAAGCCAGGAGCTCCTCACCTCACCGCAGGGCTGGGTGGTGGGCGGAGCAGCACCTACCTATAGCGCTCCTCTTGCAGGCACTGCGTCATGTAGGTGTAGTCCCTCTGCAGCTGAGTCTTCAGGTCTTCCATGGAGTCCTCCAGGTGTGACTGTCCCTCCTTGATCTCCCGCAGCTCCTCCAGCAGAGTGTCCAGGTTTCCAGAGGCGCCATATAGTGTGTTGGACTTGGGGCTCCCCAATGCCCCGCCGGGCCCAGCCCCGGAGTTGCTGCCCGCCCCGGCTGAGCTGGCGCTGGCACTGGAACACTCGTCATCACTGCCGTACTTAGGGCTGGACACAAGCGTGGCACTGCCGCTCAGTACCCGGGCTGCCTCCTCTGGGGGCCCATCTTCCAGAGGGTCCTTCAGGTGGGCAATGTTGTCAGCACTGCCGAACTTGTTGCGGATGAGGCTGGCAAATTCCCGGGGCTTGGACACCACGGCGGTGTGGGTGGCCTGCGAGAGACCAGAGAGGCTGCCCTTGACGCCCTCCACCACACCGCCTCCAAAGCCACTGATGCCCGCGCGCATGTTCGCACCCACGTCCTTCAGACCCTGCTGCATGTCCCGCAGCACGTCCTTGGGCTGCCGTGAGGGCCCATTCTGCTCAATCTCCTTCAGGCGCCGGCGGTAGTGCTCCAGCTTCTTGTGTAGTTGGGCAATAGTCTGGGCCGACTTCTGGTTCTTCTTCTCGAACACCTGCTTGATGCGTGACACCTGCTGCTTGTCCGCGTTGTTGGCCAGCTTCAGGTATTCTGCCACGTTGTCATCACGTGCCTCCTGCTCAATCTTGATCTGCTCTGTGATCTTCAGGATCTTCTGGTGCAGGTGGTCGATGGCGGCCTTGGTCCGCTGGGGGTCTGGTGCCCCATCTGGCACGTCCAGGCTGATGGGGCCATCAGTGTCACCATGGCCGGGACCAGAGGGAAGGCTCAGGGCCACGAGGTCTCCCTTGTCGACCTGGAGAAGGAGGTGAGCAGAGAAAGCAAAATCATGAGCCCAAGTGTACTTTGTTTTTCTACCGAGAAAATGGGTAAAGGGTGAATAAGAAACTTCAGGGAAAGCGTGTTCAGCTGGGTGTAGTAGCTCACACCTGTAATACCAGCACTCTGGGAGGCTGAGGTGGGTGGATCACCTGAGCAAGAGTGAGACTCCATCTCTACTAAAAACAGAAAAACTAACCAGGCGTGGTGGCGGGCGCCTGTTGTCCCAGCTACTCAGGAGGCTGAGGCATGAGGATTGCTTGAGCCTAAGAGTTTGAGGTTGCTATGAGCTATGATGCCACAGCACTCTACCCAGAGTGACAGAGTGAAACTTTGTCTCAAAAAAAAAAAAAGAGGCTTGG